AACTTAAGACCCCCAGGCGCCCCCAAGTCAGCTGCTGCTGAAACTGATCAGCAGCTGATTCCAGGAAGCCCGGGGCAAAGCAACTCTGCCTCGGGCTTCCTGGAGTCAGCCACTGGTCAGTTTCAGCAGCGGCTGAATCGGGGACAGCTGGGGGCAGAGCAGCTCCAATGGTTCAGCTGCCCGGAGCACTTCCCGGGTTCCTGATGGTGCCGGACCATCAGGAGTGCCGGACCACCAGATGCCGGATCATCGGAGTTTTACTGTTTGCATTGACTTTACAGGGCATTGGATCAGGCTTTCAAAACATGCAGCAAAAGAAATACAAGTAAACATTCACAATAAACAATGGACTGTACCAGTTGATTTGGATCAAAGAAGATCTTTCAGGAGATTTTTGCTGCATCAGAAAACAGTTTGGCTGAGTCTAGACTGGCAAGTTTTTCCGCAAAAGCAGCCTGTCTACACTGGCTGCTTGAATTTCCTCAAGAACACTGACTTCCTACTGTCTGAAATCAGTGCTTCTTGCGGAAATACTATGCTGCTCCCATTTGGGCAAAAGTCTTTTTGTGCAAAGCTTTTGCGCAAAAGGGCCAGTGTAGACAGCTCAGATTTGTTTTGCGCAAAAAAGCCCCAATCGCGAAAATGGCGATTGGGGCTTTTTTGCGGAAAAGCGCGTCTAGATTGGCACGGACGCTTTTTCGCAAAAAGCGCTTTTGCAGAAAAGCGTCCGTGCCTATCTAGACGCTCTTTTCCGCAAATGCTTTTAACGGAAAACTTTTCTGTTAAAAGCATTTGCAGAAAATCATGCCAGTCTAGATGTAGCCTTTCTGTAGAATATCTAGTGATATAAAATCTTATTTGTTTTTATTTTATATTTATTTCCCATTTTATATTTATTTCCCACCATCGCCTCAAATTAGAATTGTTGCCGTCTTTAGGAACCAAAAGGCTCTTATGGTCTATGGTCCTGATTCTGCATCAGGATCCTCTACTTCAGATTAGGGATATAAAAGGTCAACTGGTTAACTGGAAAGCCTCACCTTTAATGGTTAATATATTTATCTTTATCTCCCATTGTTATCAGGGCATGTCTACACTGGGAAATTATTTCCAAATAACTTATTTCAAAACAATAACTCCTGAAATAACAATTTTGAAATAATCTGTCCACTATATATTGCTTTGAATCATAGAGTTTAAAGCCAAAAGGTATGACCTCCCTTGTTTCACAGGCCATTACATCTTACCCACTTACTACTGAAGGAAGCTAAAAAACTCGTGCCTGACTAACACATATCTTCCAGACTTTGTCCTATATAAATGGCAAATTGATAAAGTCAAAATATTTTGTT